CTCATTAATCCCGACATAAGCAAGCAATAATTCAAAGGCGTCTATTGAAAAATCCTAGTGTTGTACGAATAACCTTTAATTTTAAAAGAGACACTTTACAGCTGTAAAGTACAACAGAATGAGCTACTGTTCCATATACTCATACTTCGTCCACACAGTAGCATTCTACCTACATCACGAGCGACTCAAACGTCCAAAAGCCAATTAAGCTGTCTGAATTTGTCTCCAGATTTCGTCAAAAATAAATCCTCAATGGCTACTAGAACTCCAAGGATAACCAAATTAACCAACTAACTTAAACATTTCCTTCTCGTCATAAGTTTATAAGTAAACACAGATGAGTCCTAGGGCGAAATTTTCATTTAAAGAGAGAAGGTTGCATCGCGAATATGCATACGTTGTTGTTTAAGGCGTTCGTAAAATTTCTTGCTTTATTAGCGTATTCACGAAATAGTACTGGGTTATCTGGAACATCGATATAATTTTAGTCAAACCCATTTCTCCATTTTGCCAAGAGAGAATCTTCGTCCTATCCTGTAAATTGAGACATTCAGTGTTCGAGACGTGTCAGACGGGATTACATCCACTTTCCAGATTCTAGCTGGGATCTCAGTCACTCGAAGTGCTAAAGCTGCACCACGATCCCTAAAGATATCTGGAGCTAGACCATCAGTACCCGCCGATTCCCACCACCCTAAATCATCTATAGCTTTTTCAGACACGCTAAGAGTTATGGAACGTGTCGATTTCTCGTTCACATTGTTACGAGATGTATTGTATCTGGAGACCAATTAAAATGTTTTCCAATGTATTGAGCTCATTTTCCAAATCTCCTGGACTAGTAACTATTACCAAACCTTTTTTCAGAATTAGTCTCACTAATACACAAATTTTAATCACTTGTTTCTTTGATAAGACTGAAAGTAGTCTATTATTGCCTAAGGCAGCTACCTTTATTATATATGTAGCTTCCCCTGACCAGTACTGTTGAGTATTTTCCTAGTTCTGATTGTGTTGTAAGCTTGATGGGTTAAATTTCCTAACATCAGTCAATTTAGTAGATGCTAAATAAAACCACTAATTTTTTTTTGTTTAAGGCATTAGTATATCTCACCGCTACTTTCACAGATGCTAAACTATCATGCCAACACTAAGGTGAAGATAATTTCGATCACTGACTAGCTACTATTGTAACTGTTTCTAAGATATGCTCATGCCTTTCACGTCTCTAGATTGAACTTTGAGGAGTCTTCTTGTTTATGGCATTTGTGTGTCCATTCGAACCGAAACAAACACTAGAGCATGATCAGAGTCTAAAATTGTGCTCCAGAATGAATGAGTCTTTTATTGAACCTCACTAAGTACAGCCGATGGAGATAATAACATATTTGAATCAATCGTTGAATTGATTTTGGTGGTCACCATGTCAGACTATATCTTTCTTTTTGATTAAAGTTGTTACTCATCAAGAATAAGTAACTATCTGAGCATAGTTGCAGTAGTTGGTCGCCTTTATATGTTCTGTGAGCTAGAACACTGTAAGACCCCATCTAAATCTCTTTCACCTTGGTTTAAACTACCTTATTGGGCATCAAAATACCCTGCTACGATTATGAAGACTGACCGTTTGACTTTTCGAAGGAGAACAGAAAACTTTCGGTAAAACTCACTCTTTAACTTGCTCGGACTACAGTCAGCAGGAAAGTAGGCAGAGACGACAAATAAACAACAAAGTATGCACCTATCTCTCCTTCTTGGTATTTCCTGTCTAGTCAAACAGTACGCGGGCGACTATCTGTTCAAATCCAGTGAAAGAGAGGCTAATCTGATCTTGAACTTAATGATATGCAGTCCAGCCAGCAGATAAAAGCAGAGAGATCTCGCTGGTCTTCCACATTGATTAGATGAGGTTAAGTCACTGATTACACTAAAATCCTGTATGTTTCTCCCGCAGACACGGAATGGATATTCTAGAGCCCTACCTAAGAAAGCTTGTTGTTCAATTTGACTTAGAGTTCAGACACTGTAAGCCACAATAACTAGTTTACAATCCAGTTGCAAGAGACCAGAAAAAACATTTCGTGAACCCGAATAATCCGCGATGGTAACGCGTGAGAACAAACCATAATTCGCAGAAGAATGGTTAATAGTGACAATAGGAATATTAATGAGTTATAATAAAGTTTGACCGTGAAGAACAGAATCTTCAGTGCTGTTAGAGGACGATAGTCACTATCTGCCCCTCTACACAATGGAAGGATACTTCGTATTGAAGAACCTTAAAGGGAAACTTGATTAGAAATGGTCTTGGGGACCTGGGAACGTGACACCAGAGACCAAGGGTCAAATTTTCGAGACCGGTCATATATATATATATATATATATATATATATATATATATATATATATATATATATATATATAACAAATAACTGATTTACCGCTTACACCGAAAAGGACGTTTATGCATTACAACAAAAAGCAATACAAATCTTTTATCGAAGATTCTGTACTGTTTATTATTTGTAAGTAGTACAAATGCGCACGATAAAAATTAATTGTCACATTTTAAAGCAATAACTTGGACTGAATGTTCAATCGATCCTCACTGGATGTTATGTGTATCAAGTAACTACTTTATATAAACATTATGGTAACGATAAGAAGCACCGGAAACCTAGAACTATCACATAATACATGATCACTTATTCATCTTTTTGTACTTATTCCACATACACATTCCTCATATTACATATAAGATTACGACCTTAACATTATTTTAGATATGCAAAAAAATTATTAGTGTAGTCACTGTCTATCAAATGAACAATTCCTGAAAGTTTGAATATTCAGTTCGTAAACTCAAGAACAATTTAACAAGAATTTATCAACAACCTGATTTAACCTGAAAACAGATTTCAGTGCCCATCAGTGTTCATTGACAGAAAACAGAACGAGCTATTTGCAGCTTTAGATTTCAGGCATTCCATCATTTTATGAATAAAGGACTAGGAAACACACAATACATTAGCAACCAGAAAACTTTAAAAGTAAAATAAGTATTACGTGACATAGTATATGATGTGAAAATGTACAATAGCCTATTAACTTAGGAACATTTATGAACGTTTCAACATTTAGGTTTCATTAACTTAAAGACCATCTCGATAACTGGACAGAATCCAAAGTCACAATGAGTTTCAGGTTAATACAAAATTGCATTTTCAACAGTAGTTAGCAAACAGAAAAGAGTCTACTTCTTTATTTTTTGGACAATTAAAAACATGTCTTACTCCTTACTAAATGTACCGTAGATTTATCACTTTAAATAACTGTATTCAGTATAAGTGTGTACAATGTCTTTCGAGGATAACAGAGTTATCATACGATTAACCATAACAGTCCGCTTAAATATTTGGTAATCTATTTTAATCACTTATTTAGTATTGAAAGGTAGAGAAAGTTTAGTCGTAAAAAATACCTTATTTTTATATCCAGGAGAATTATAAAATGGTAACTTTTGAGGGCTATTTATGGACCAATACTATGTGTATATTTTTATTGTGTAGTTGTTAACTTACTAAACTATTCATATTCGTGTCCCTCTTATTAAAAGCTTCTTTTTGACCCATAGAAAATTACTATACGATTTACCGTCCTTGAGTTATCCTCAGTCTATTAATTACTGTTCCCCACATTCACAGCCACACTTGGCCAAGTCTTGTACAAATGTTTTCTATTTTATGGTACGATGTGGTCTGTCTGTTTGGCATATAAACTCAGTATGCTTGGAATAAATTATTCATATTTCAGAGGCTGTTATTAGTGCTCTGGACTTAACAGGCTGGGCTAGGCAGATAGCAGGACCGACAAGTGCTCAAGACTGCTCGTATGGGTTTCGTGTGTCATTGATCCGATCGCAATTCACTGCTCTCTAATAGGCGGGTAAAAGATAATAACAATTGCCGGCACGGGTTATAACACTTATGTACCAGTTTCTTGATCAGCTTTCCACATTCACGGTACGTATTGGTTGAGAACATATTGATGAAACATTTTATATGAGTTGACCACGTTGAAAATGCATGAATTTATAAATCCACTAACCAGATAATAAAATTCATAAGGACTTATTTTCACGATAATACATCTCTTAGTAGCAATCAATATCATGTTGTTCAGGCTTTAATGTTACGTTTAGTGCATCACCAGTCAACAAGGGTTCAAATACTACACGGAGTATCAACTGCCTCAAGATTATAAACACATCTTGAGGACCTAGCACTAGATGTAAGACTTTCTACTGATTATCTCTTTTCACTTGACATACCTTTATACGATGTAAAACCCCTTCAATAAGAAGTATTTAGTTCTAAAACCTCAGATACTTGGTAAAAAAACAAATGATTCCACTGAACTTTTTTATGATATTTACGGCTATCTTTAAAACCATCCAATAGAAGATGAGCAATTTTTACATCAAAACTTCTAAAATGTCAGTCAGTCACAACGTAGAACTTCGTACGTACATACATCAGTTCGAGTTGCCATACCACATTAGCACAGAGATGAAGTTGTCGTTTCAAATCCCATAGTGGTAGAAGTAGTAAGAGTATAAGCATTATGTGAAAGATTAGGGTTTGAAGAAGTTATTGAAGGAGTATAATACAGTGAAATAAATCTGGAAAGAGAAAAATATAGAGACACGAGGAATTCATAAGATTAGAAGTTGGTAGAACACAAAGAGTGGATGCAACTTCTTCTAAAATGAATATTGTTTCACCGAAACAATTGAAGAAAAAACTTATCGTAAGAAAACTAACTGTTACATCTGTTAAAGGGATCCTATTTCATCAGGAATAGTGAATTTTCACACTACATTTTTAGATCTTATTACTCAGAAAACATTGATTTACAGGAATAACATAGATGTAAAGTTTAAAGACAACTCCAATAGTTATTTTAAAAATATGTATGAATCGAATGTGAAATTTGCTTACCGTTAGCATTAATCAGAAGAGTTGGATGATAAATAATATTCCAAATTATCATTAAAACTTGCAAGTTGCTAAAATGTCGAGGGTACGACATGATTCGATTTGAAAAACTATGTAAATTCAGCCTTATATATATATATATATATATATATATATATATATATATATATATATATATATATGTAAAAACCCTACAGCTACACGAAACAATCCTAATGGTAGACTATTCAATATTTGTATATACAAATATATTCTGATAACGATGAACTTACCTATAAAATCAGTCTGTTTATTTTTCATATATGAAATTATAAACTTTATTCATGAGAAATAGTCAGTTAATAACAGTTTAAATAAACACATTTTATATAGAATTAAATGCTAGCAGACTATTCATGCACTCATTATTTGCCTTACATTAATTTTCACGGTGCTGATATGATATATAAGAATTATGGAGACGGAATTATATTTACCTGCTAAAACAATTAACTACAACTGTTTGAAATACAATGCCTCATCTAATAATACTAAATTGAAGCGCAACTGATGATTATGTTTAGTTGTGACTTTTATTCAATTAGGAAGACCTGTGTTAATAACATTGTGTTTCACACTCAAAGAAACACAAATTGACTTTATAAGATCACATAATGTTTTGTTGTGATGCAGTGTTACTTTTCGCTTCTCATTTAGTGAGGTTAGTATGATATATAGATATTGGGTGCGTTAAGCATGATACTTACTTAAGTAACTAACTTTTTCAAAATTAGAGCAACTCCTGACATTTAAATGGATGTTATACAGCATATAGCTCGAGAAGAAAACATTCTATTAACATGTCGGTATATAATCAATGTTGTTCCGACATTGTATACAGAAACGAACAGACAACGTGTGCTAAACATGTCTAGATTGGATTTCAAAGATTTATAAGATGATTAGCCTAAAACCAACGTATACATCTAACATTACTCGCCCACTGGATACATCACATGTTAGTCGTTTGCCAAAAGCTGGATTGATTGGATATTCCTAATATAACTATACTTTACTGCCAGTAGTTTTATTTTATCTCACTGAGTAAACATTTGTATACTTAAAATGAAAAGCTGATCAAACTAAAGTAGATAGGACGGGGTTTGAACAAATGTTTAGTAGGCTGAAGTCCAATTCCTTAACCAATGATCCATGTCCTGACTTCCTGATCATAAACATATTCTGTAAGAGAGTAATTTTTCGAGAGGACCAGACACTAACCAGGCTCTCTGAAGCCTGATCAGCACAGCTTTCCGGTGGCGTAATCACATAGGTATCAGGAACACTGGTGGGCCAGGCTTAATATTCTGCAGCCCTCTAAAAATGTAGAGCAACACATATCGTACTCATGAACTGAGTCAATTATAAAAGCTGCAACTAGACAGTTCATCGTAGCTTTCTCATTTATGATGGTAATTAAGCCAGTTAATGTTCGAAATAAGGTACCTTCTAAACGCAAAGAAAACGAATTAATCGATTCCCCTTAGCAAGGAGCTAATTCTCAGCTAATATTCATTAGAAAACGATTTGTTTAAATTTAAACTGGTCGGTTTATTGTAGCAAGCAACTTACAATTATTACACATTGTAGTGCCGCGATTCGTTAATCGTTTACTTTGATAACCGTTATAATTCTAAACTTAACGGCGCATAAAATCAGAAGACAAAGGATAGCAGCAACTACAGTTTATTGTCGAATAACTCAGGTTCGGAAGCTAACAACACCTGAGCGAATATGAACGAGCGAGTGAACAGGCAAACAAGCGAAGGAAACGAACGAGGAGCAAGCGAGCGAATAGCAAGCAATTACAAATGCAATTTAGAGTCAAATTTAATAAGGGCACAGCAAGGCAAAGGCTGATAATAATATTTGTGTGCGTACATATATGGGGAGGAGTATGAGTCATCGAATGATATTTAAGCAGTCAACATTTCGGCTAGTGTCATGTGCTCTAGTGGTATAGCAGTGCAAAGAATATGCAAATTGTTACTATCTAAATGACGATGTCTGTTAAGTAAGTTATAAAAAAGGGCTTAACCAAAATTGGCTATAATCGAAATTGATTGTAGATGGTTGCTATAACATCTCGAAACCATACACATGTGATAAACAGACATCCCTACCATATACAATCGTAGCTAAGTCAATGTTATTGAAGATAATTAAAGATACATGAAACAGAGATTGATATTTGCCTCTCTTGAGGATGACTGAAATGTTAAATATTATATTCCTGTAACTTCCTTTCCGAATGGGGCTTCCTTTAGGGCGAAAGTTAACTCAGTGAACCAAAATAAAAGTCTCAGAACTTTGAATAGTTTTTGTTCGTTTTAAGTGTTTTCGAAGTTATATATGTCACACAGAACCTGAAGATAAGACTTTATTCATTTTTTCAAACATTTATCCTAATCTTTACATGAGTAATTAAAAGTGATTATCTTGTATTATTTAATGAATTACTTACGAACGTTTAATGATTAAAAATCCCTACTTGGGCTCAGTGTTGAAGTGAAGAGAACAAAAACTTTGTCTTACTCCTATTTACTACTGTATACAATCCTTGGAATTGACACCCCGAATGCCCTGGTACGGCCGAGAGTGGGGAGAGTCCGCTCTCCCTCTCGAAATGTCCTTATATGACCACACGTATATAACCTCTACCATGGAAGTCCTACTCACTGCCTTCTGGTGGCGAGGGTGTTATTTACCAAATTGAGAGGACAAAAAGCGAATGTCCGGAGCTTTAACCGGGTTGGTGGGGACGGAGGGTCCACCCAGGGGTGCACATGGGCTCCAGAATCCTGAGAGAACGAATGGCGTATGAAACAATCGTTAATCACCGGCTACCATGGGATTGCATCTCCTTACGATGCTCCACTGCCTTGTGGATCAGATTTTTAGGTCAAAGGCTCCGGGTGTGGCCCCCTAAGAAAACCACCTGTTTTGGTTTGGGCAACCGGGCAGTATCACAGCCCTCACACAAATCAAATAAGATTTGTGTGGCGCATATGTATCTGGTGCCCCTTTGTATCAATATTTATGTGTTTAAATGAATAAATATTATTTTATTTAAACACATATATTGGTACAAAAGGGCACCAGGTACATATGCGCCACACAAAATAATGAAAGTAGGAAGAGAAGGGATGAAAAGACAAGGCGGACTTAAATGTACAGCCAGAAGACTCTCTCGGTTAAGACAGTTAGAACCATTCTTTATGTAGAAAGTAAAAGAAGGTTGCAACAGGATCGCCACTGGCTTCTATTCTGAGCCATATCTGATAACGTCTCTAGCCACTGTGTTGCACCATCTCTCGGACGCCAGCCAGGGAGTCGTGAAGGTCCAACAGAAGATAGCCCTTTGCAGCTTTCTTTCATGCCACGACACCATGTCATACACTGACCTCCTCTCCGCTTTTTCCAACCAGTCCCAGGGTCGGCAAATAATGCACGACGTGGAAGTCTCTGGGACGACATTCGTAAAACATGTCCAAGCCACCGAAGTCGGTGTTTCAAGATGGTGACACCAATTGAATTATCGTCTCTGCGCCCGAACACACGATGCCGAACCTCTGCATTACTAACATGGTGTCGCCACTGTATGTCAGCAATCCTTCGGAGACAACGATGATCGAACACAGAGAGACGTCTAACATCCTCAACTCGGAGGCCAGGTTTCACAAGCTTAGAGCAAAACTGCTCTCACCGACGCGTTGTAGATCCAACCTTTTACACCCAGACTAACATCACGAAGGCGCCAAAGATGGCCCAGATTGGCTTTCATTATACGTGCATCAATCTCATCACTCACGCCACCACCAGCACTTATATAGCTACCTAGATACACGAACTTCTCAACTACTTCGATCTGCTCACCATCCAGGGTGAGTACACAAATAAATGAAATGACGAACTCTATTGACGATACTATCCCTGCTCATACTAGAAACAAATAAATAAATAAATTGGAATCGACACGACTTTTCTTCTCTTCTACTTCTTTTAGTGCTAACCAACTTATAGACCAACCGTAATTGTTAGATACTTAGCATTTCAAACAGTTTATCGACCACTGTCAACATAGCGACTTCATAAACTCTGTAATATAAAAAGATGTTTCATTACCATCTGAAGGTACTCTGTCAAATTACAGTGTGTAGTTATTATAATCACTAAATCACTTAATGTTCCACCTCACTTGATAAACATACACAATCTTCCATACACTCGGAATGATGTTTCCCTTAAACCATAACAGTGGAGAGGAAATGCACATTACAAGTACAAGATATGAATAGGAGTTTATACGCACTAGATGGTTATTCAACAGTTAGCTTTATAAATCTCAAGTATTCTCTCTCGAACCATCAGACTAACAAATTTATCATGTAGCTCTGTTAAAGATATTCCTGCACATTATTTCTATTAATAAATCTAAAAACTTGTGAAACGTAGTACTTGGTCTGACATACAGCTAGTTCTAAACAGCGAAATAGATAACTTGTTTTTATTAGCTCTCAGTATTGTGAGGACCCAAGAAGCACTGAAAATAACTTAGAGTATTACATTGTCCCTTAAAAGTTGAGCCAAACAGCAATATTGGAAAAAATCTCTACTAAGATAACGCTATACAGTACCTCAATATTACACACTAATATATTCAAGCTATAAATACAAATCGCACCACGAACAACCTAGGCTCTACAGCAAGATTAAAAATTTTGGACAAGTTATTTTTTGTAGTTGACTCTTGTACGGAATAAACAAGCGAAATGAAACCCGTTAACCACTAATGCAGCAAGTCCAGAGAGTATAGGTAGTGGAATTAAGACTTGAACATCTAGAACAACAAACGCTGATAGGTGGAATAATATCTGAGATATTCTAAATATTCCTAACACTCCCTACATAACTTTCAGGCCAATTCAGTGATAACTCCTATTAAAGAGGCAAAAAAGAAGACATTCTGAGGTGAAGGGATTTATCAGTGTTGACCAATTAAGATATCTTGAGGATGATTAGCAAAACATAGACACGAATTTGGAAAATATAGAATAGATTCTGTACAAAAAGGTAACATTTAACCGTATCTAAGGTATAATGATAAAAACTTGAGAAGATAGATAATATCAAAAACACATGAAATTCACCAAGTTTATAAAGTGAATACACTTGGTAGTCATGCTTAAAATTCTTGAACAGAAAGATGAGATATTAGTCTCAAGTCAAAGTTCTTCAGAAAAATGGTTAGAGTATAGTCCCCCTGTTTTCATAGTATCGTCTCAATTAATATCTCATCTAGTCTTCAAACTTTCTGTAGGGAAAAATTACAAAATTCAGTAAGGAATAGTGTCTATTTTTGGTTAGTAAATACGAAATCAAAGTTAATACTCTGCAAATATACATATAAGCCGATTAGTAGTGACGCAAACATAATTGCGAAAGGGTGTCCCTTAGCAAACCAGCAAAAGGTGCCAAATGCAGCTAGAGAAGCAGAGTATTTGAGGAATTCTTTCGTATAAGTGACAGTCCATATTATTCTTTGCGTGTTACGATTGCGTGAGTTAATGTTATGAACTGTTGACTTAGTTTCAAACTTGTCAGATGTTTTCGAACCTTTTTCTGACTTTACAGCCAACACGCACCCACTACTAGTCCGCTTGTATCCACTCTTGCAATCACATTTAAAACTCCCAACTGTGTTTGTGCAAAGTTCTCCCTCGCTATTACAAATATTACTGTCAGCATTACATTCGTTTATATCTTCACATACGTCTCCATTTCCTCTTTGGTATCCGCTTGCACAAGATTCACAATCGTTTGCAGTCGGACCAGAACATTTATTACAAGCAGAATGGCAGGGAACACACTCGTAAGAACCAGGTTTGTTTAAGCAAAAATGTGTAGATCTGTTGCAAGGACTATCAACACATTCATTTATATCAACACATCCTCGTTGATCACCAGAGTCCATTTCGGTCCATCCAGAAGCACACGCAGAACAGTTTTCAGGGAATGGACCGGAACAACCACCAGAGCACGATAAATGACATCGCAAGCACGATATTGAAGAGTCGTTGTGGGACTGAAAATGAGTTTCAAAAGTACACTTGTCGCATAACTCTCCAGTATATCCATCGTTGCAAATACAACTACCTGTTCCAGAACGTGTCCCATTACCATCACACCTGCCACCAGGAAAGTAACACGGAGGGCATGGAAGACATGAATTCCCGAAGGAGCTAGAAGGACAGCAAAACTTGGTCCGAGTGACACATAAATCCTCCTCAAACCCTTCTATTTTATTAGCATAACTCCTGTAATCTTTAAGCCACCAATCTTCTAAATGATGTTCAATACTTTCTAAAAACTCATGACATTTGACTGCTTGTTTAACATCACTACAGATTCCTTCCACAATATCGTGGTAGCGCACTTCGCTAACAGAGTAGCTCCCTAAGTGTTTTTCTTCCCATAAAGAATTTCCCCCTCCGAAATTTTTGCCAGCTGATTTATGAAATCCTAAGATAAAACTTTTTGCAGCATGTCTACACTTATTGCAATCATCACCTGGATATATAGTTAATGTTGGGCATATGATACTATTAAGTAATACAGCCAACAAGGGTAACATTTTGACGCCAAGCCGTTAGTGAGTTTGCCTTCAGTCTGAAGATATGTAGTAATTGAATTGTGAAGAGGAATGTAATTTCAGTGGTAGTACTCAAATTAAACACGAATCTGGGAGCGAGAAGATGAATTTGAGCCTAAAAACTGTTGAGTACTGTGAATACAGTATGGAGAGAGGGTAGAAAAAGTCGATAACAGTAGACCGCGAACAGACAACCAGTCGACGCAATTTAAAGTGAGTCGAAACTAGGGAAAATATGAATAAGATTTAGGATAACTGTAAAACCACCAATACAAACCGCCGCGACTCCACGTCCAGCAAAACTATTGGTTGACTCCAACCAACCTTCGATTTTGTTCATGAGGAAAGAAGAAAAACAAAATAGTTTATTATACCCTGAGATTGTAATACATAAGGGACAATCCCTCATCTGGCTCTTCACTAAATATAAGTAGTAACAGCAATACGAGAATGAACTGACATGACTATAGTGAAAATGCACCTTGACGTCAATTATGAGCTGATACTGTTGTCTAGAACGACAATGAAAGCTCGTGAACGAAATTGAATAAGTTAACTTGATATCATCAAAGTCTTCTGATTGATATACGAACTCCGCGTTTTGTTTAAATTGACTGTTATTAGCCGTTGAACCTCAAACGAGAAATTGTAGCGATAACTAAGTTCTTAAATCTTGTGGTTTTGTTGGTTTTCTACATTGATGCTAACCACATTATTTTTTCCGGATATACCTCTAAATGAATGTGCTCACTTAATTATTAGACTCCAACCCCCAAACTAACTGCTACCCAGGTCAAAAGGTATATTTACACTAACACGTGTTCACGCGAACCCATTAACTGGATTTTTGCTGTTGCATTCGTGTCGATGCTTGTCGCAAGAATAGACTTGTTACAGAACCATGACTCGCCCGTTGACCCAGGCAAAGGTGAATAGTTATACAGAAATATCAAATTCCCTGTTAATGAAGTTTCATCTTCTGGTTATATGTTATGGCTGGTCATGTTGAAGCATATAACCTGCAGAGGTAAATAAATCCCCTAGATAAATAGTTCTGTAAGTTTTCGATATATGATGATTACCCCATTAGTTTCAGTGGAAATATATAGCTGAAAGCGTCCGGTCACACCAGATAACGAGTGGGTGCGCAGTGCTGACCAGTTTAGATCAAACGCTTCTCAATTTATCGATGGTCTTTTAAGTATATCTTCGAACCCTTTCACTTTTGACTTTTGGTTTAGCTAGGTTGGCATACTTTAATTATAACGGTGTTACGTGTAAAGGCCTTGTCAAACTTCGAACACCCGAGGCATCTTCAATTCAATGGTCGACAAGTACTCTGGACTATCGAAAACGCAAAGTTGCTGTGTAGGACAAGCAATATCGCACATCACAATGTTGCTGCAGGACCACATGGATTCTCAAAAGCATGTCAATTTGCTTCCGAAATGCTAACACTAGCCTTAACAAATTTCATCACACGATAAAGTTAGGCATTATCCTGCCATCAAACAACCCATAGGCATCTCCTTTGCATATGGTCCCCAAAATGGATAACAATGGTTGGTGTTCAAATGATGATTATCGATTATTAAACTCGAAAAACCATAACGATCGTTACTTCTCGTCACACATCCACTACCTGATAACCGTCTTGGAATGTACGACTGTCGTTTCTTAGAATGACTTAGTGGAAGAGGGTAGTCGAATTTCTATGGCTACGGATAACATCCCTAGAACGGCTACCATAACTGTTCTAGACTTTACAGATCTCTGCTCATACCTTTTGGACGTTCAAACTTTTCAAGCACTGATTGATAATGAATTCAGAGATTTGAACTTCATGAAATACCATATTGATGACTTCTTAATCGCAAGTTGGAACAGAGAATCCCATCTCAAGAATATCGACATCGTTTGCCAACAAAGCCGAAAAACGTAACCACAGTTAGTATTCAAAAATGAATAACCTGAACCGATACCATATATTTTCTTAGGCATACGAATGACGCTTAAGATATTCTCTCTCTAGAAGATGAAGTGTTAGTCATTACGAAAAACCCGAAACAGACAAAAGTCAAGCAATTTCACATGTTTAACGGACTGATAAACTCTTACCGACAGTTCACTCAGAATCATGCATTCCTCACAAAATCCTTGGCAGACCAAATTCGTTGAAATACGAAAGTCATAGCATCGGAAGACAATGCGAAGAAAGCGTTTCCCTCATTGAAGGAAGTCAATTGTGTTGGCACAACCCAAAACGAAAGCACCCATAAGCACTGCTATATGCGCATCTGACTTGGCAATCAGGGAAAGTTTAGTGGTACTGGTTCTCAACCACACGACACTTGAGGAGAGTTATATCCAAATGGTTGAGGACGGAGTAGAAGAAGCCTTCGCTTAACGGGCTTCCGTGTCTGACATTTAACACCATAGAAAAGGCCATAAATAGTGAACATGAGAACAGATGGCCAGAAAGGCATGTCTCAGGCTTGGTAACTTTATGTCGCTTACTCCTTTTTGAATCAAATATATTATTTTGTCGTCAGTTCGAACGTGTTCTTGAAAGTGCAAAACATCATATAGATGGCTCTAACGATAGTATGAGTTATTACAGATAGTGATGTGATTTCAACATAAGATTTCTTAAATTAGGTAGTCACATCGCAGCAAGTTCACAGTTTTAGATTCAGTTTACTATTCTAATAGCAAAGATCAATATCGGTCTAGACAATAATACTACTAAGTAAAAGTTGTCTCCCCATGACAATGTAGTAGGCATCGTTTCGTGGTTGACTATGATCACCACTACAGCAAAACTACGTGCCAGTTACTAGGTTAGATCCTTCCGTAGGTCAAAGTTCAGCTGGCAATTGAGGGTTGTAGTAAGATGTTTTCGTTGGCGATCTCATGGTATCGAAATAATAGCGAGATCGCGCAAGGTCAAAAACAATGGAAGAGTGCCTTTTCGGTAAACATAAACAAACAGGAACAGCAAAACAATCACTGGTACAATTGTTTCTATTACACTAATGGTGTTCTCTTCATAGAAAGTAGGTCACTACAACATTCTGCACAAAAAGGCTCCGGGACACCAAAACAAAATGTGTTACTTTCTGCGTAAAACGTATGGCTGTGTTGTGCTGTAAGGCACTTCCGACACTACGAAAGGTTCTCCCTTCCTTTAATGTTAATTCGTTTTGAGACAAGTACTCTTCTGGAGTGACTCGACAACTGAACTGCATGTCGCACTTTGCTTTAGATATAGATGATTGTAGGGCAAAAACTGAAATTGCAGACGCTTTGTCTCGTATAACTTCCTTGAACAGTTTTCGAAGAATCGACCATAATATACCCTCCTAGCTACATAAAGAAAAAACCGACCTTCAATTCCGTTTGTCTTCGCAAACTCAAGACTACTACACTCACAGTTCCACGCGATGTTGAACGACTGCCGACCACCCACGAACTAAGGGTTTGTTATTGTTACTTCACCTACAATTAAAAGGATTATTTTTGGCAACAGACTTACGAACCTCCCTTAGGGTCACTTCGAATTCTCAATGCATAGAATGATGGAATAGTATGTACTGTAGATGGACTTGTAGTGACCGGCCAGTCTCGATAAGAACACGATTGGAACAACGGAAACAATTATTATTATTGTGATCAATTGTACCAGAGATTGTTTAACTGTATTTGTTTAACCGTATCAGTTTCACTTCTGCTTTCGCCCTCCGCCTTGTTTGGTTCGAACTTGCTCACGCACTGCCTGTTCGCCTGTACTCTTTGGCACGTCTCGGTATTATTTCGATTCCACGAGATCGCCAATAAATACAATTGATCTAGATTAATAAAGTCTTCTGTTTTACGAGCTATCAAAGGAACCAAGTCGTTTTTGGGCGCGTAAACGAATTGTAGTGGTGATCATAGTCCGTCTTCGACTCGACATCCACTACAAACTGGTGAGCCATATTGGAAACACGCACAACATCTGGTGAACCACAACCAGTAACCCAATTCTTCGAGCACAGTTCAAACTTGACCATTTTTCCAACCCAGATCAATTTGGTGAGTCTGTGTATCTATCCACTTCTGTTGCATATATTCGTATCGATATTTTCAATATATAATATCTTGGCAACTTACTATGGTGGATAACGATAAGAGTCGTATAAATATAATAGACTCCGAGGTACAGGCTATTAATTTTCGACCGGTTCCTTTCATCCCTCATGATCCAGAAGTCTGGTTCGTGGCACTGGAATCTCAATTTGAGATCCGCCGCATAACCAACCAAAGGCAAAAGTACGCCTACGCTTTGGAATCATTTCCCGGGGATCACCTAACTGCTGTTCGTGAGGTTGTCCTCAATCCGAACGTTCCGAACGTTTACGACCGTCTTAAGGATGCCATCCTTCGACATTTCCTCTCATCAAGAGAGGGACGATTGAGGACCTATGGGTGATGCTAAGCCGAGCCACCACCTCACGCGCCTGCAATCCCTTGCAGGAAACTCGACAGCAGACTCCGAAATAGTCAAAGAGTTATGGCTCGAAGCATTATCAGCTAGTATCCAACCAACTCTTACGGCCCTGCTCGAGGACACCCCACTGAACAAGGTGGCCCTCATAGCAGACAAGATTCTAGCACGTGTTAGCGCCAAAGACAACTATATTGTTGCCTCTACTCCTCATTCAAACATGGATTTCGATGCTAGACGACTTTCGGCTCATGGGGATAGGGACAGATGTATCCATACTCGTCTCAGTTTCCGAGACCACTCAAATGTGCCAGCCCCCTACGTCCCCCGACCCAGGTCACAATCTCGAAAAGCCGTAACGACTCGCCCCAAGCGGGCATCTTCCAAGCCACGCCAGAAGGCGGTTTCGAAAGCGAATCTGAGTTGGTGCTGGTTCCACCGTGCCTTCGGGGCCGGTGCCCGTCATTGTCGAGCTCCCTGCTCATACAAGGCGGGAAACTCCTGAAACTCCTGAGTAAATACGGCCGTACTCACTGGCCCTTCACCTCCATTTGACTGTTTATTTTACGTGCACGATTATCGCACTAACGCTAGGTACCTCGTGGATACAGGTACCCAAGTTTCTGTCGTACCTATCAGTAACAGTAAGTCTCAAGCTACGATGCTCCGACTACGCACTGCGGATGACTCAGTCATTCCCAACTATGGTACACGACAACTTATGGTCAATCTGAGCAAACAGCCTTACGAAGCTTCTTTTCACGTGATTTCCCGTCACGAAATGACCTTCAAGGTTGATCGACATGACCGTGTCAAAGTAGTCAGCATTGATCGTCTCATGCCAGCACACGTCG